AATCACTGTTAAAAGAATCAAGGGAATGGGTAGAAGTAAGCGGGGGCATGGTTTGTCTACCACTGACCAGGAACAGAGGAAAACAGCACTGAGAATGTGGTACCATATGAAACCTTGTTGGGACACACCTTTCTATTCTATTGCTGTCTTAAAGCGTTCTTATGGATCCGTAAAAGCACTTGCTACTCTTTCAGAGGATCTGGGTTCGATTCCCAGAGCATATGTGGCAGCTCACAACTGTCTAACTCCAGTTCCGAGGGATCTGATACCCTCTCTGGCCTCAATGTGCACCAGATATCACATGGTGTACAGATGTACAAGCAGGGAAAATACCCATACACACAAATAAAACAACAAAACAAATTCTATATCCTCTTCTAAAGGTATCAAACCAAGGAAAAACTCTTAGAAAGAAATTTCCCTATTAAAAAAATTCCACTTTTGCCAGGCAGTGGTGGTGTATATCTTTAATCCCAGCACTGGGGCGGCAGAGGTAGACAGATATCTGAGTTTGAGGCTAGCCTGGTCTACAGAAAGAGTTTCAGGACCAGAGCTACACAGAGAAACCCTGCCTCGAAAAAAAAAATCTTTTTTTTCACTTTTACATGACCCATGTGTTCACAAAAGTTTAGCAGCTGTCTGCTTAGCCTTTTTGAAATGGTTTGAGAATTTGAAAAACAGTATGTATTTACACTTCCAAAGGAAAGTCTTTATAGTTCTTTTGTATAAGCAACAAACAACAAACTGGGTGGTGGTGGCACACGCCTTTAATCCCAGCATTCAGGAGGCAGAGGCAGGCGGATCTCTGTGAGTTTGAGACCAGCCTGGTCTACAAGACCTAGTTCCAGGACAGGCTCCAAAGCTACAGAGAAACCCTGTCTCAAAAAACCAAAAACCAAAACCAAACAAACAACAAAAAGTACCCCAAAGAAAACAAAGTCTCCCATAAAATCTCAACAGCAGAGCTCCAGCTGCCCCACAGATGTTGGACGGCTCATGACTGCCTGTGACTCCAGCTTCATGGAATCTGGCACTCTTTTCTGGCTTCTGTGGACACACCACACAAGTATACATAGATACACGGGAATAAAAAAAAAATGTCTTTAAAAAGAAACAAACTAAGTTTTTCTTTCTTTTTTTTGTGTCAGGGTCTCACTACATAACCCTGGTTATCCTGGAACTTGTTCTGTAGACCAGGCTGGACTTGAACACAGAGATCCTCTGCTTCCTGAATGCTGAAATTAAAGGCATGCACCATCACCACCTCAGCCTGAATACCATTTTCAAATACCTTATTTGTTGAACAAAATTCATCTGGAATCCAGTCTTAAGAAACTAGTATCAAGCTGGTAGGCCCTAGACTTCCCAGGAACTGGAGAACCTTTGCCTTCCCTAATATGCCAGGTCCTCGGCCCTGCTGTTAGGTCAGACCAGCCCTTGGCTCTATTTTATATGCTCCCGAAGACGCAGTCAACCAACAGGTCACACAGCGTGCTGCTTCCCTGCTGTCTCTGTGCATACGACATCCAGAGAGCAGTCTAGTCACTGGAGAAACGCAGGCCATCGGAGACTCAGCACCAGCACACAGTTGGCCAGTAACTATAGTAGCTCTCAGCTAATGGGAAGGCACTGTCAGGACTTGCAATTTACCCCCACATATCCAAGTATACTGTAGTAAGAATGAATATATCCCAAGGGGCAGAAAATTAAAATAGCTTCTTGACTGTAACAAAAGATCTATTAGGTAGCTCAAAGTCTTCAGCCATAGTTGATTGAGCACATTTGCCAAAATTTTGAGGGGTGTTATAAAAATGAACCATGAGCAGTGCATTTTTTTTGGTACCAGAATGTTTTCAGCATCTTTAAATAATATCAGTGCTTTGTATACTATATTATGTTAAAATTACGCATAAACTTCAGCTTCCTCATTACTGTATCCATTATTTATTTATTTGTGTATGTGAGTGTGTGTTTGTGTGTGTGCACACATGTGCATGTGCAAGTCAAACAAAAACTGGAAACTTTCAGCACTCAGCCCTCTCCTTCTGTGATGGGGATACTGGGGATCAAACACAGCTCATCACTTAGCACAGACCAGCTAGGACGCCTTGTACATCATAGCCTTTTTTTTTTTTAATTTCTTTTAAAAAAGTCAAACTCACAAGGGAAATTTGTAAAAGTAAAAAAGGACTCTATACCGTTCAGGAGTATAACTTCTCAATAATTTTTAACTTCTCTTTCTTTCACTATAAAACATACACCTAAAAATTCCTTTCTCCATAGTTATCAAATAAGATAGAAAAATTTGTTTTTATAGAAGCCCTTAAGAGTAAGGAATGGAATCAAATGAGAGAAAAGCCCTGACTGCAGCAGTCCTGAAGGGGAAAAGACTGGAAGGGAGAGACCAGGATGTCTCAGATCCTTGGAGGCGTATGGCTGGTCAGCCCGGAGGGTTCCTGCTATCCTGATACACTCTTTCACAAAATGCTAGTATTGTTCTTCCTGCTCTAGGTCCCTTCTCTTTCCTATATTTGAGAACAGTTCAAACCTACAAAACATACTCATTATTTGCCCAGAAACCAAAGGGAGATGAGCAGGGATACCCTTCAGGGCTGATAGGCAAGATACAGACAGATCAAAAGCCAAATGCAATTTGGCTCACCTCAGGCAGAAGCAGTAATTGAATTAAACTTCCTCTAAATATGATAAGTTTGGGGCTCTTAAAGCCAGGCACAAAGACCTACGTTAGAGTGAGCTGCTACACAAATGGATGCACTGAGCTCCAGCCCCGCCCACAGGGATTGATAAGCTGGAGATTGTTTCTATCACTCTACTGTCCAGCTGAAAACTGATTAAGCTATTTATGGGCTCTGGGGGCTAATGGCATGGCCCCCCAGAACACCACTGTCACTGATTGAAGTGAGCTTCTTGGCATATATGGTCTGATTATTACAAGAAGGAAAAAGAAAGGGCCGTGGGGGAGACAGCAGGGTACGGGCAAGCTATAAGAAGCAGGCTTATTATTCCAAATGGATACACACCGCTGACACCCTAAAATGAACATGGAATGTTGCAATTCTCTCTTCCTCTGACACCAAAACTCGTTTTGAAGGACCTCCTTAAAGGGGAGTCATTCTGTTTTATACCTCCACCTTTCTGAGAATGTCTGGTGCCTTTAAACACACATCTCATGACAGTGCCTGGGCCCTAGGCTACCATGACCAGACAGACCGCTAAGATAAATAAATATATATCAGAGAATTCAATCAATTCACCCCTCTGTGATACGGGATATCACCATGTGACTGAAGTTGGAGATGCGCCCCTCTGTGCCCTAGCCAGCCAATTCCATGGGTAAGGACTGAAGGAACAAGCAGGTCTAAACTTGACAAGGAATATAGACTCGCCCTAGCCTTCTCTGAGGCCTGTCCAACTAAAGGCTACCTTATTTCTTCCATTTGATATAACTGTCTTCCCTCCAAATGAAAATTAACAAAATATTTTTTAAACTAAAAAAAGACATATACTAGAAACCTTACAAAGTAATTTAAAGTCTGAAAATGGCCGAAGGCCCGGGTGAGTTTTTAAGCTGAGCTCACTGCTTTGGTTAAGACAACTAACTGAGAACAAGGACAGACGCCAGCAGTCTGGGATTTCTGAAAGTTGTCGCAATTATTTTTCGATTGGTTCTTCAAAGAATCAGTATTTATTTAGAAAGTAAAGTAATGCTTCCATTCAGTGTCTAGCAGCTTCTCGGGGAGTGTGTTGTTGATTTAAATGATTAACCAAAGCCAAGCATACTCAGAACTTAGGACTGAGCACACAAAACCTTGGTTTCTTCCTGGCTGCTAACCTGGTCAATCATTAAAAGTACACACACCACCAGATTGTACAAGCTGGCTCTGACTCTCCTCTGTGGTAAGCTTTACTGAACTTTAGAAGTCATCAGCTGGAAGATCTCCGCACCCACCACTGCCTTTCCCCATCTTTCCTCTCACAGAATTTTTAGTTAAAATATTCATATCATGTAAACTTCATTATTTTAAAGAAAATGACTTATTTTTAGTGTATTCACAAGGCATCCTATCTAGTTTGGTTCAGGAGAGAGCCCGTGTCCACTGGATGTCTCTCCTCACCGCCATCTTTCCGGAGGCTGGAGCCACTAATCTACTTTCCTGTCACTACGAATTTGTTCACTGTGGACATGCCACTTAAAGTGTTCTTCCCTGTCTGGATTCAAAGGCTCATCCATGTTGTAGTGTGTACCAGTATTTCACTCATTGTTATGACTAGACAATGTTATGTAATAATGATAAACAACACCTATCAGCTGATAAACATCTGGTTGTTCCCTGCTCTTTCTTCCTATTGTGAATCATGTTGCACTGGGTATTCTTACAAAAAAATGAAAATTTTGTTTTATTTGTTTTGGGGACAGGGTCTTGCTATTCCAGTCATGGAGCCTGGGCTGCCTCGGTCCCCTTCATGGCTGAAGTACAGGGGCACATCACCCCACCCAGTATTCACGCACAAGTTTTCCTAAGGACATATGTGTGCAGGGGCACATCACCCCACCCAGTATTCACGCACAAGTTTTTCTAAGGACATATGTGTGCAGGGGCACATCACCCCACCCAGTATTCACGCACAAGTATTCCTAAAGACATATGTTTTGTCATTATCTTGGGCAACTCCTTGGGAGTGGAATCTCTGGATTATACGGAAACTGTAACCTTTACAGAGCTGCTAAACCACCCTCCAAATGGCTGTCCACTCAGCATCCCCACCAGCAGTGAAGAGAGCTCCCGTGACCCCACGCTTGCCGGTGTCTGTCACTGTCTCACAGGATCCTTTATACTAAACCTCCCTCTCATCCGGAATAAAGATTAACCGAGTGCGAAGAAACTACCACAAAACAGATTAATTTTGTGCCAAAACCACAATCCACAAGGTGACTTCTGACAGAAAACAAAACTGAAAAGGCCCCTCTGAGAACTTACCTGCTGCAGGTCAGCAAGAGAATACAGGTGGATCTGTTGAAGGAGGTATTCTCTGGGGAAAATTCTGAAAACAAAGGCAGATAATCAAATGACCAATGGCTCTGCACTTTTCCTATGTTAAATCTCATTCAGAATTCCTTTCCTCTGCCCTCAGCCCTCCCCCTTTCACCTCTGCTTATGTTCTCAACCCTCTGAGATACCTCTAATACTACCCTTTCCTCTGATATGCTTCTTTGTACCACAAATACTATAAATAAATACATTTTTTTCATTTCTACTGTTATCTGAAATGCTATAGTATTATGTAGTGTTCTAGGACACATCTGATTTTTGTTGTTTTGTTTTTGCTGTTTTAGTTTTTGAAGCTAGGTTTTGATATGTAGCCCATTATGGCATTGAGCTTAAAACCCTCCTTCTTTAGCCTGACAGACGCTGGGAGTACAGGAGTGTACCACTGTGCCTGGCCCCGCTTCTGGTTTCCCATACTAGTTATGTCTCTGACAAATTGTGTCATCTGACTTACACACATCTCAAACCCAGCTTCTATGCTGGTCCAGCTGCTACGCTGCATAACAAGAACAACTGAGTGTGACATTCCTAACATCTCTGTAACAGTAACGATCATGTGCTGATCTCAACAGAAACAGCCCCTATAGGCGCATCTATTTCAACACTGGTCCCCTTTAGGTAGGACTGCTTGGGAAGGACTGTGGACTGCAGTCTTGTTAAAGGAGCTACTGTCACTAGAGGTGGATTTTGAGGTTTTTAAAGAATCGTGTCACTCCCAATGTGCCTTTCTCTACCTTCTGCTTGTGGATCAAGATATAAGCTCTCAGCTATCTCTGCTGCTGTGTCTGCTCTGCCATCATGGCTCCTAACCCTCTGAAACCACAGGCCCAATGAAATGCTTTCTTTTATAAGTCACCTTATTGCTGCAGTAATAGGAAGTAACTAATACACCTGTGGATCTAAACTAACTAACTATGGAGTTAAGAAACAGTAGAGGGGCAACCTGTATGTTTCTTGAGAATCACCCATGGGCAGGGAGACAGTCTTACAGAATGTCACATTAATGATACATTTTTTTAAAGGGCATATTGAAACAAACTTTAGATTTTGGGCACAGATGGTAACAATAGTATAAAACTGAGATTCTATGATACATTTCATTAGCTGACAATTTATAAGATCTAGGTAGATGGCAGTAAGTGAATAAGAAACAATAATTGTGGATAAGCAGCTCCCAAATATGAAGCAAAGTAAAGATAGCTAGAAACAACACATGGGCTGGGTGGTGCTGGCACACTCCTCCCCGCACTCAGGAGGCAGAGGCAGGCGGAGCTCTGTGAGTTTGGGGCCAGCCTGGTCTACAGAGTAAGTTCCAAGACAGCCAGGGCTACACAGAGAAACTCTGCCTCAAAAAAACCAAGAAAAAAAAAGTAAAGAAAAGAAAAAGAAAGGAAAGAAGGAAGGAAAGAAGGAAAAGAAACAACACATGCGTGCACACACACAGTATTTGGGAGGTTAAGGACAGGGAATCTTGGGTTGAATGTCAACCTGGGCTCTATAGTGAGATCCTGACTCAAAAAAATAAACAACAAAAAGGAAACACTATATATACAAACCAAATTCAAAGTCAAACTCCTATTTCCTCTCTGTCTTACATGGTACTATACAGTAACCTTGTGATTTGGTTGTGAGCCTTAGCTTTCAATGGCTTACACTTTCCATCCAGCTCTATCTTGTATTTGAAACGAAACCACCAATTTACTCAGCTAACATGTATGAGTGTCCATTAGCTGCCACGCACCAGCAAGTCTCCATACCTGAGTTCAAGAAGCATGGAGACAAGCAAGGCTAAAGGATATAACAGAATTGGGAATTAGACTACAGCCTGGAAACGGAAGGTGTTAAGACTGAGGCATGAGACATAGCCTCTGGAAAGGCAAATCCCAACTCTGGCTACCATTAGAATCACTGGGGCAGCTTTAGGACGTGAAGGACCACAAACATGGGGAAAGAACAGAAGTCAATGTTAAGTAAAAATTCTCCTATTACTAACACAAACAAGGTTTAAAAGTACAATCTAATACATAACTTTCTGGAAAATTCATTATTTGGTCTCTCAATTAAGGATGGGTTAGTTGCCAAACTCTAGAGATGAACATATTTAGTTCTCTTATCCATCTAATGTTGACTAAGCACATGCTATATCCCAGGCACTGTATCGCACTACTGAAGGAAAGGGTAGTGGGTCAGCTGGGCCACAACTTGGCTCATGGATGACCAAATAGCTACATTCTAGGTTGGGACTATAAGAGAGTAGAGAGGGAATGGAAGAGTTCCACTTCAAAATACAGCTCCATCCACAGACCAAGTAGCTTGCTAGGGCATTGCATTCTGGGAAATAGAACTTGGGTCCCGAGGTTGGGGCTCTCTTCATTACTGTTGGTCTATAGCTGACCTGTGGCAGGAAGCAGTCTGGCTGACAGTCTACAATTTTTCTCAGGCTGGAAAAATTATTTTCTGAAAAAGACACTCATACATAAGTTGGTGTCTATGTTTCCTTATTATTTTTAAAATGCTCATATCCTTTGCTAGGCGATGGTGGCACATACTTTTAATTCCAGCACTTGGCAGAGGCAGGTGGATCTCTGAGTTCGAGACCAGCCTGGTCTACAAAGTGAGTTCCAGGACAGCCAGAGTTACACAGAAAAATAATGTTTTGGAAATACACATGCGAACGCACACGCACATACAACAACAACAACAACAAACCAACCAACCAGATTACATCCTTGTACTATTGATTCAGGTTCCCCAAATGTTTACAACTTACAAAGACAAAGGATAATGGTCAAAACCAAGCAATTAATGACTATGGAAGTTACAGTATTTATTCAAATTCCACCAATTATTTCCCCAGTGTTGTCCATTTGTTAAAGGATCCTTTCCAGAATATAACGTTGTATTTATGGATTGTTGACATGTTGTTGGACATACTTAAGTATTTGCAGGTCACTTGAGACCCAAACACATGCACAAAAGAAAAATCTAGGACATAATCTTTTAGTGGAATTAAGGGTAGCAATATGCAATATCATACTCTAGCAGGGGAGACAGGGGTGCTTGGAGTAGATGGAAGGAAAGAACCACCATTTTGAAAGGTAAATGCTTAATAATAAAGTCTCTTAAATAAAAGCAATGAGGCAGTAGTGCTGAGGAACAGCTGGTGACGCAAGTATGTGGGCTCCACGGCCATCTCACCAATCCAGCATACCTCTTCCATTCATGCCGAGAAGCACCAGTCATGTAGAAGGACTGAAGGAAGTGGCTGGCATAGCCTACAGCAGGGACAATCTCTGGTCTAAAATCCTAACGTTTCTATGATTAGAAGTAGGTAGGATTCAATAATTATTCATAAACTAAATCATCCTGGCATGCCCTTGAACTCCACTAGACAGCCCAAGTCCTTAAACTGTGCTTTACCAGCAACCAGGCAGGTCTTCCAGTAGGAGCTGAGTTTGCTGCTTTATTGCACACAGCTGGTGAGCAATGAAGACAACTTCCAGCTTTTTCTTCCTGGGTTCTTCCTGCTCGCCAGCCCTGGTACTCTGCACAGCATCTCAGCAATTCTGCTCTCTGCCATCTCCACTACTCCTTCAGCATTATCTGTACAACTCAAGGTAGTTTTACGTTTATTTAATGTTGCTAACTCTGTAAATGTATTTTTCACTAATTCGTTTTCCCTCTTCCTTTAAAAAAGACCCTATGTTCGTCCAGAAGCACTTCATCTGTCTCCCCGTATCACACGCTAGTGTTGAATTCCTTTTAATTTATATGAGGTCAATAGACATAAAAACTGGAAAAACATGTGGAGAAGATAAAGGAACTGAACCTACTGTTTCGGGAGAATATGTGTGTCCTAAAGATTTAGTGGTGGCCATTACAATATAGATTTTTAAGAGTGATAACGTCAATCAGTCCTTCTCCCCAAGAGGAAGGAAGTTGTGACATAAAAACACTGATGCCAAACGGGAGATTAAGTTTCCGAGAGGGACAAGCGAGACTATTAAAATGCATCTCCTGTCGCGATGCTTGTTAATGTGAATCCAAGAGGAGAGGGTTTTCCTACAGACATTTAGAGACAGGGCTGCGCTCTTGTGCCCAGAAGAGGCATATGGATTTCCACAGCAGGGCAACAGGGTAGATAGGCTTTCTCCTCTCTCTCTGTAAGCAAACTGAACGAGAAACACATTCTCTAAATTGTTCCCTTCAGGCATACTAATCCCGGAGGAAAGAGAGTAAGGACACAAACACTAAGATCAGGACAGGCAGTGTCATCCATCGAAGAAAATCATGTCACTGACAGGGAGCGACATCAAGTTCTCTGGTACCAGAGAACACTGAAGAAGGCTGCCATCAACTGGCACATGCAGATCAGTACCAATGGTTCTATTTTATCATCTTTGGAATCGTTTGACATACTGGGAAGGTAACTTAGGCCTCGTTTATAGCTTGTTTTAATGAGAAAAGTGAGAAAAGAGGAAAACTAAAAAGGAAAAAGGTCGTATGTGATTCAGAGCCCTTATATTAGCTGACACTTGGGGTTAAACATGCAGAGAAAATTGCCTAGGAAATCAAAGGCAATAGCCTTAACATGAAAAGCAAGGGGGACCTCATTTCATTTTGTTCTATGTTATTAAGTTATATAAATCAAGACTCATTTAACCTGACTAATTTCCAAGGACTTAACTCTCACCAAGCCCCAACACTCAGGACAGTAAAGGACTGAGTTAGACTCAGAGAAAAGTGGGCTCTTCACAAGATTCTGATAGAATTATTCATGTATGTAACATGTGCATGAACTCAGTTCTCAGAGACACACAACTGTCTCTTAAAAATCCAAAGACTGGGGCCGGAAGGAGGGCTTAGCTGGCAAGGTTCCTGCTGTATAAGAAGGTGGACTTGAGTTTAGTTCCCAGAACACACATAAAGACACCAGGTACTGAGTGTCATGGGGGTAACCAAGCTTCCTGATGGCATCTGAGGCCTGATCTCTGG